GGGGGAGGGGGGGGTCACGTGGGCACGCCTGCCATTGTCAACCTTGCAAGTAAAACCGCCCATTACTTTACCAGCAAAACAAGGGCTGATTCGGAAACAAAAGAGAATTGAACCCAGGACGACAGGCGGCGGCAAAACCGTAGGCGAGTCTGGGCAACAAGGGACAGGTGCGCTTTTTCAAGGAGAGAAGAGGTGGCTTGGGAAGGTCGTTATGAACTCAACGTCCATTGGAGGACACCGGGAGTGTGGTGGCTTCTCATTGGCGGAGCTGCTGGCGGCCGCGAGGTCGCGACCGACCCCCACTGGTGGGGCCTCCTGACTCCAGCTTGTGCCGTTTCCTGCTACTAACGTTTACACTGCAAAGGAAATGGGGAGATGGGTCTTTATTGGGGGTAATCCAGGTAAAATGGAGGGGGTTCTGTTACTAAAAGACAGGAGAGAAAGCATGGATATGCAGTGGAAGTGTCTGCTCCAGGGACAACATGCTCAGCCCAGGCGATGGGTCAAGACTGGGTGGATTCTGTACCGCATTTCCCAGCCTCTCTCGAAGTGAGGAGTGGCCCTGGGGGCTAGAAAGCTGTCTGCTGGGGACATTCAGGGCTTTTGCTTTCAGGAAAAATGGGAGTACATATGGCCAGTGGCTCCTCCCTGTTTCTCCTGGCCTGCACACAGCCGTGATGCCTGGAGCTGTGGCAGCTGCGCTTTGACCATGAGGCAGGAACCCTGTGGAGAAGGTCAAGACTATCCCAAGCCACTTTCCAGGAAAATCAAGTCTGTGAAGGAGAGAGCAGCTGCCCAGGTCTGATCTAGTGATGGGGTCTGAGACTCTGGTTTGTGCCATGAGTTCTCTGGCCGCCGTCAGGCTGCAGGCCAGCGGGGGAGGACACGGTTGCAGGCCCAGCACTTGTGATGCTGCCTTCACTACTTCCCTGACGTTGCGGGGTGAGGGCGAGCATCTCCCTGCCTGTCGTCTGTGTGACCACGGGCTCGTGCTGCCCCCGGGGCCCGTCTGCCAGGAGTCAGGTGCCCCCTCCACCCCTGGCTGGGCTGGGCCAGGAGCCCAGTGGAGAGGGAAGGAAGACAAAGGCCATCCACAACCATTCTATCAGAACATGTGTTTTAAACAATTTCTGGAAAGCATAAGAATGGCAGAGAAATAAACACTGCCATTTTCAAACATGACCGGAAGCTTTTAAAGAGAAGGAGCTTCTGAGGTCCTCCGTGGATGTGTTTTCGACACCCAGGGCGAGGGCAGGCAGTGCAGGCAGACCTCGTGTTGGTGGCTTCCTGTCCCTCGCCCGGGGTGGCCTCGAAGACCCCACCTGGCCCCGCTGAGGCTGGTGACTCTGCCTCACTGGCCTCGGTGGCATTGTGCACAGTGCCGAAGGGGGAGCTGGCGCCCCAGTGGGGGAGCTGGGCACCGGGGCCAGTGGCCACAGGGGAGAGGTGAGCCCCGGGTCAAGGAAACCTGACACAGGACCACCTGCAGGAGCTCCCCGTGTCGCTGGGGCCAGAACCCTGTTACACAGCACCCCCCCCCCCCAGGCCAGTCACCCCATGCCCGCTCTCTGGAGGCTCAGAGCAGGTGCGTGGAGGCGTCAAAGGGCAACGACTCACACAGTGAGGGGGAACAGGGGTGTCTCAGCCGCCCCCCTTTCCCCCCCTCTGTCTCTTTCTCATCTTTTTCCCTCTCTCTCTTCATCTTTCTCTCTCCCTGTCTCTCCTTCTCTGTCTCTGTCCTTATCTGTCTCTCTCTGTCTCTCTGTCCCCCTCCCCCCTTGTTTCCATCTTTCTCCCCCCCTCTTCTCTTCTGAATCTTTCCTGTGTCCTAAGTGTCTGTGACGGCGAACATGGCCGTGGGGTGAGGCAGCGATCTCGTGTCCCCTCGCTGCCAGGCGGTGGTGCATGGGAAGTGGCTCCACGTTAGAAGGACAGCTTACCGGCCAAGACCCTGAGTACAGCGCCCCGCAGCCTCCCTCCGACCCGTGGAGCCAGACGGACTGTCACGTGTGGACCCTGGCCCAGAGCCCACGGTGATCAGGCTGCAGCTTCCGGCTCCCCCCACGACTGTCCGTCTCAGGTCTCCGGCCTCCGGACCCGCCCCAGGTTCCCACGGGCCCCGAGCCAAGGCCAAGCGCCTCGGGGGACGTTGGGCACACCACAGCCTGGCCACTGTCAGACAGCTCCCCCTGCTGACACCCATGGCCCTCCCTGGCCCTCGGTCTTTCCGGGGCACGTCAGCCACCCTGTCGTCTCCTCCCTGGGAGCTACCGGTGCAGCTCCCGGCCCCACCCGGCACAGTGACTCTGGCCACCCCAACTCCCCCCGGGCTGGTCTGAAGTCTGAGCTCTGATGGTGGCCCCGATTCCCATCCTGTGAGCACGGCTGCACAAGTGTGGAGCTGGGGACCCCCACCCGCTCACAGACACCACGTGAGAACACTCTGGGGGCCTCTAGGGTCTCAAGCCCTCCCCTCCACCCACCGGCTGTACCACCTCTGGGCCTCAGTTTCCTCGTCCGTAAAACGGGATAACGGCATCTACATCCTGGCTTGTTGTGGGGGCTACGTGCAGGCTGGCCCCTCCTACTCCAGGACGCCAGCCACCAGGGTCACAGGTCAGCGCTCCTCAGCACCCAGGCTCAGGGACAGGGCTCCATCATGGGGTCTCCCCTATAAGGTTCAGAGAAGTAAACAATGGCCTGAGGCCACATGAGCATCCAGGGCCAGTGAAGTGGGGGATGTCCCCAGCCTTAGGGGGAGGTCTGGTTTTGGGCTGAGTGGGCAGCTCCCAGGAGCCGGGGGACACAGGACCCGACTCCTGGTGCTCTCCAAAGCATCCTCACTCCTGCCTGGCCCGTGTCCCCACCTGCACCCGCTCCGGGGGAAGCTTCAAATGCTGGGAAGATGTCACCAGCTGGGGACAGTGAAGCCAATAGACATGCCTTTGATTAGGGATCAAAAGCACCAGCATCACCTTTTAAGTCTCGTATTTTACATTTTCGTCTGCTTATGGAATAGTGGGAGGGTACACGAAGAACCGTCTGTGACAGACACGGGACGAGGCCCGCAGGCCTACAAAGCCGCCACGTGCCCACTGGCGAGAGCTTGCCAGCCAGCAAAGGTAGAGAGAAGAAGACCCCATCCCGCCCCCCAGAGGAAACCTCAGTCAGCATCTCAGCATCTCTGTGTCACCGTTCACCTCCCTGCAGTGATCTCACCCGTGGCCTTTCCCCCAGCACCACGGCGTCCGCTGTGAGGGGCCGCCCTGGGAGCACTGTGTGCTGTGGCTGCACCACGGGCCTCCCCGGACGGACCACCCGGACGGGCCACCCCAGATAGGCCGCCCCAGATGGGCCACCCCCTGGGCTTCCTGGATAGGCCACCCCGGACGGGCCACCCCCTGGGCCTCCCGGACAGGCCACCCCGGACACCCCACCCCAGACGGGCCACCTCAGACGGGTCACCCCCTGGGCTTCCCAGACAGGCCATCCCAGACAGCCCACCCCAGATGGGCCACCCCAGACAGGCCACCCCCTGGGCCTCCCGGACAGGCCACCCCAGACGGGCCACCCCAGATGGGCCACCCCCCGGGCTTCCCAGATAGGCCACCCTGGACGGGCCACCACCCAGGCCTCCCGGACAGGCCACCCCAGACATGCCACCCCAGATGAACCACCCTGGACAGGCCACCCCGGATGGGCCACCCCAGACAGACCACTCCAGACAGGCCACCACCCAGGGCTTCCCCTGGCATCTGCTACATTGCCTACAATTCTTTGTTCCTTCAGACAACGCCGCGGTGAACTGAACACACATGTTAGCCATGTTAAAGGATATGTCTTTAGAACAGACAGCACAATTGGGGTCAGGATCTAGGACTATAGTGAAGGCCTGGATGTATAATCACCACACAGCCGTGCAGACAAGCAGCTGTGTTTATGGTTGTCTTCTAGCAACTATGGAAGTTTGGACACATTCAGGCTTGTTTTTCAAAAAAAGGTTTTCGATATTCTATAGGAAGTAAAAAGCTGTGAATCATGGTTTCAATATGTCTTCGGCTCTGAGGTTATTTTTTAAAGATAAGCAGTAGCCATCCAGGTTTCTTGTGATTCACAGAGGCGGAGACGATGGTGAGTTTATACCATTATGCTCTTGGCCACGTAGGTGCGACTATTCTCACCACTGGAAGGGACAGGAGGTGACCTGGCATTAGGGTGGAATACGCTGGGTCCCTCCGTGACAAGCACATCACACGTGCTGAGTGAGACACAAATCCTACTGGGCCGGCCTCCAAGATGCTGGGGGTTATCTGACACCACAGAGCAGCTTGGCCTCGGGACCCAAATACAGTTTTGGTATCGCTGTGAGACAGATGGCCCTAAGAGTTAGTGGCTTAAAAAGCAATAATCAGGGGGGCACCTGGGTGGCTCAGTCGGTTAAGCATCCAACTTCGGCTCAGGTCACAATCTTGTGGTTCTTGGGTTCGAGCCCACGTCGGGCTCTGTGCTGACAGCTCAGAGCCTGGAGCCTGCTTCGGATTCTGTGTCTCCCTCGCTCTCTGCCCCTTCCTCTCTCTCTCTCAAAAAAAAAATTAAAAAACAATTTTTTAAATGTGTTCTTTAAAAAGTCATAAAGATGTGCAAAGACTTAGGTGTACGAGAGGGTGGCCATTGCAAAAGGAAAACATAAAAGTTCATGAGTAAGTTACGATATGACCACAAAATAGAATTTTTACTATGCAGAAAGATGTGTTCCTAACACATAATTAAGTGACATATAACATAAGCAGAATGATTCTGTTCTGCAAAGATCATGTCTTTATGTAAAAGCATAGGAAAGGTGTGAAAGGCTGCACGTCTGGGGTGGTTTCAATTACAGTAGATGTGACCACGCGTTCCCTCCCACAGGATGGAGCTCCCTCTCCCGCCATGCTGATCTGGGGATCGGCCCTCTCAGTTACTGTGGTCAGCGGACGTGGCCACAGCCTCAGTGGCTGGCTCTAGGCCTGGGCATTAGGAGGGCTTGAATATGCCCTGTTCGCCAGTCGGGGGGCTCCGGACCCCCAACAGGAGCGGAGGGGGGGGTCATGCACGGGGAGGGGGTCACCCAGAGCACCCGCGGCTGAGCCCCAGATGCAAAAGCAAGACCCTCACCCACGACGAGGCCCCAAAGTGGCTCTCACCGGTGACGCTCATTGGGAAACGCCCCTGCCCCCACAGCAGGGAGTCATTCCCGCTTCTACCCTTACCTTTGCTTTCTTTTCTTTAAAAGATTTTATTTACTTAAGTGATCTCTACACCCAAGCGGGGCTTGAACCTACAACCCCGAGGTCAAGAGTCGCAGGGTCCACCGTTTGGGCCAGCCGGGCACCCCTCTTACCTTCCCTTTCTAAATTCTATTTAATATTATGTTGCTTAATTACTATCTTAGTTTATTATTTATGTATTTTATTAACTATGTATTATTTAGATTATACTATATTTTAGCATTTGCATAAAATTTTAATGTTTATATGTTTTATATAAATGTTGTAAATCATTTTATATAAAGAATGTTTGTGGGACGCCTGGGTGGCTTAGTCAGTTGGATGTCCGACCTTGGCCCAGGTCATGATCTTGTGGTTGTAGGGTTCAAGTCCCACGTCGGGCTCTGTGCTGACAGCTCGGAGCCTGGAGCCTGCTTCGGATTCTGTGTCTCCCTCTCTCTCTGCTGCTCCCCTGCTTGTGCTCTGTCTCTCTCAAAAATAAACATTTAAAAAAATAAAAGGAAGAACGTGTGTGTGTGTGTGTGTGTGCGTGTGTGTGTGTGTGTGTAACAAGCTTTTGCAATGTTTAAAAAGAAAATCTTGCCCTTGAGGCCAGCCTATCTCCAGCCTCAAACAGACACTGCTAACTTGTGATCATGACAAAGCATATTTCAATATTCTGTCCTTTCTCTGAAGTTATGTTGTGAGCACTGTTCTGTGTTACTAGGTGTCCTTCACCAGTGACGTTTACTGTGACGGACAGGCTCTCTCAGCACGAGGGTGTCACCTGGTACGTCCGTGTGTTTCCCCGTTAGAAATTTATTTCAGATTGTCATGTTCAGTGATTACTGGACGATGACTGTGCTCGTGCATATACATGTTGTTTCCCAAAGACACAGACACTTGCAATCTAGTAGAATGGACATTCTTTTCTAGTCCCCCGTGATGGGTTTGTGACTGTTTGCCTTCCAGAAGGTGTCGGCCACTGCATTTGTGTGCCCGCCTGCGGCAGATGGCACAGATCACCCACCCATGTCCCTCAGGACATGAGCTCAGGCTTTATTCTGGGGGACAATTTGCTCAGCCCACCCTGCAGCAAGCTGCCGCCAGTGAAATGTATGCACAATTTATTGAGTCGTCCGCAAAGCTCCTTAAGAGGAGACAGACAGCGGGAAACAAGCCCCCTTTTGCCTGCTTCTTGCATGGATGGTGGGATCTCCAGCAGCCATCTTGGGCCATGAGGCTACTCTGAGGATGGAAACTCCACATTATGCAAGACAGAGAAGAAAAATCCCCAATAACAGAGTGGAGGTGTCGTGCTAGCCTTGGATTTCCTAATTCCAGCCTTGTTTCATTTAGAGGAAAATCCTGCATGAGTTAAGTCTTTGAGCTTTAGATCTGTTACTAGCACCCAAGCTACTTAACCTCTTCAGAACATTACTAGCGTTGGTTTCAGCACATTAAAATTTTAAACATTATTTATAGGTATCAAGTGGAACTTAACAGTTGCTTACTGGTGTCTTTTCGGAGGGAATTTATAGGCAAAAGGAGCAGCACAAGCAAAGCTATACACGCTGGAAGGAGAGCCATTTTCAGAAACACACAAGTCTCTCCTTGGAGTGAGGCCACCTGCTACCCTCTCGCTGAGGGTCAGGTGAGGTGTCAGTTCATAGGGAACCACTGAGGTAAGCATCCTGACTTAACCACTTCCCTGTTTCCGTTCTCTTCCTTCCTCCTCGTCCCCTCATCCCTCTCCCCCTCCCTCCACCATCTCACCCGCTTCCCCATGCCCCCCT